AAACCATGATGGAAACTTTGCCACTATCATCCATATGCAAAGTGCATGTTTTGTTGTAGGCATCTCCTTCGCTATTGCTTCTTTCAGACACATATTCTGGTCAGTTAATATTGTTTGTGGGGCCTTTCCATTCATGAATCCTAAGAATGCCTTTCACATAACAAAAACAAAAACATCAATTTGGGACCAATAAACGCTCTTTGAGAAAGAACATGTGTGTGTGGCCAAGGATCATTGCCAATAGTGAAGCCACAATTACATCTTTCATGGAAGATATAATTGCAGAGACCAGACTAGTTGGCCATGAACACATATGAAGAAGCTCATATGAATTTATTGGAAAATCTAAAAGCATGTGTTGGTGAATGTTTCGCCCACACCCAACCATTCAAAAATGAGAAAAGGGTAAAATAAAAACTTGATTTATCTGCCCAGTCTGTATTTCTGAATGTTACACTAACCTCAGGGGCCAGTTATTTCAAATGCCTCGTCAGCTATCCCCTGCCAAACATCCAACTAGTATTGCTATTTAGAATCTATATTCCTCTGCCTCCCCATTCTTTTTGCACCCACAAATATGAAAAGGAGAAGGGCAATTAATGGAGTGGTCCAAGTAAACTAAAAGGTGCTAAATGTGCAATATCAGGTGATACAGGTAATTAATTGACAAGAGAGAATATTTTCATTCTATTACCTTTAATGCCCATGACAGCGACCTCAAACTTTCCTCTCGTAAAAGTACACATCCGAAGAAGCATGGCATACCATAGTTATTCATTCCAACCCATATGCCGAGAGGCATGTCAAATGCAGTTAAGCGATGTGTTGTATCAAATACCACTGCATCACCAAAGATCTCATATGATTGGACTGATGACGCATATGACCAAGCAATGTTCTCTAACCTGTTGTCAGAGTCGAGTGTGTATTCAAATTTGAAGTTGGGGTCCTTCTCCTTTATATTTCTGCACATTCTTAATAAGTCTATGCTCTCATCCTCCGGGTCCAATTTCCTAAACGACTGAAGCAAATTCCTCACATCTTTCTCAGTGAATGGCAAATATCCCGGCTCAACACATTTTTCAAGCTCCATGAGTCTCATCATTTGCTGCACTGAAATTCCTGTTTTGGCAAACATGAGGATTCTGCTCTTGTCTGAATCTGATATGGTCCGATATGCAGGAAGGAACCGGACTTGATTCGGTTCTAGGAGTTCATGGTTATGGTGATTAGCAAAACCAGTGACACGCCATTCTGGTGTCCCTAACTCTGTGACCTTGCTAATCCTCATATATGCTTGACACCCACATCGAGACGATTTTCTATTCCTTTGAGGTTTACTTTCATTTGAGGTTTTAACAGGGGTGTTTCCAGCACGATGGCAGACAAAATAACGCCTTGTTAGTCCTTTTCCAACCCCATCTTTACCTTCTGTGCGGTGACGACGGATTGAGAATCCACACCTTTTTGCAAATTCACTGTAAAACTCATAAGCGTCATCATGAGTAGCAAATCTTTGTCCAATATATGGAATTGCATCATTAGGCGTTTCTAGTGATAGTCTGGTTTCATCAGGTGACTCCTCTGTGCTGCTGGTATCATCCAAAGACAAAGATCGCTGGTCTGACGGATCATCATACACAACCAACATTTGTCCAGCCTCTTCAGACATCATATTTTCTCATTAACCTATGAAAGGTCAGCTTAAGACCCTGCATGAATATTCCAAAAATATTGATAACCAATTCAATTCCGATATGGAAATAAATACACTACAGAACAGAAAGCAATAACATACATGTGTGCAGACAAGGCTGCAAGCACACAAGCAAACTGATAGATAATCTAATAAAATGATAACCATCATTAACATGTTCTACAACCCAACTTTAGGGAATCCATAAAAAATGATGTAAGAAATGGACAAGTAACTTTGCCCTTTTCTAGCATTGATTAGAAAGCAAATGTTTTATTCCATCCAGTAACGAAAACTAGAATATGGCGTAACTTGTAAACTTGACAAGGTCATCACTAGGGAAGGAACGTTGCACTCATTCACTCTAAATTCCCATCCTTCCCACCAATGCTCAACACCAGATGCCTATTTCCAAGCTCAGAGATTTCAGCCTTTTCTTTTTCTCCTTTCCTCCATCTCAAATACAAGAATCATTTACTCTACTTGCAAACAAAATGAATCCCATTTTTCCACATTACAAAAGCACTAATTTCAAGATGTTCCATCCTAGACAAGGAATGCATTAAAAGGTTACATTTTTTTTTCTCCTTTTCCCTTCCTATGTTACACAACACCCATTTATACAACATTTAACCATATGAATTCAAAAAATACCAACTACCCAATTCACCAAATTACTTCATCATCCCATTCCACCTTTCAATCTCACTTCTAAACTACAAGAAAATGCAATACAGACATGTACAGCACAATACAATACAATCCAATCCAATCATATTAGCAATAAATTCTCCAACTTGAACACTACCCATTATCAACAACAGTAAAAGAAATCTGGGTTTTGTGCTTCATTTCAAAATTCACAAAAGAAAAATAAAGAGAAGGAGAAAGAGGTTACCAATCAATTATGGATCCATGGGTGTGAAACTACAGTTCTGGGGAATGTTTCTGGCAAGAGACCAGCCCTAATTTGCGCAGGGTGGTGATGAGGACCGTTTTATATACGGTGCGCACATTTCTTATCTTACGCCTTCTCTGTTTCCAAGCAGATTTTCTGTCTGTCCAAGTGAAATGTTCGGTTACGCGTATGACCAAACACCTTCCGTCGCAAGTGCTTGTCTTCCATATCAATTAAAACTTTTCGGACATATTTAAGAAATAAAAAGTTTGATTTTAAAAGAATAATAAAAAGTTTCTAGAATGCTTAAGGAATAAAAAATTAATATTTTAAAACTAAATAATAAAATTTTCCAAGAAATAAAACAAATTCTGACAAACGCTGTCATTTTAACTTTTAAATAACTTTCTAGAAGTAAGAGAAAAAATTGAAAAAAATTAAAATATTGAATATATTTTAGGAATAAAAAAATATGAAATGATTTGATAAAAGTTTTTGAAATTTCTCAGCCATTAAAATTTTTTAAAATATGTTCTTATTTTGAAAATTTTTGGATTCTTTAATGGTATGTTTTGTTTCTGAACTATTAAGGTTATGACAAATTGAGACCTATAATATTAATTTGATCAATTTTGACTTTTAAGTTATTATATTTTTAACAAATAATGTCCTTTTATTTGACTTTACAATTATCATTAACCAAAATTTTCTTTTAAAAAATTCAATTTGGACTGATTCTTATCACATATGCTAGTAAAAAATTCATAACCTAAGGCCAATTCCTATTTGAACATGTGGGGCTGCTAGAAAAATGGAGGCACTACGTAAGGAAGAGAAGGTTTTTAATTTTTGATGGGAAATTGCAGTAACGTTCTTGGTCACACTAATAATTTTGGTATTGGCATGGCTTGTGATCGCTCTTCAGCAAATAATACGGGCCATGGCCTTGTCCGACTCCACAGAAGCCCAGCCCACTTCTTTAGCTGCTCAATTTTCGTTGCTGATAATGGACCAAGTCCAATAGCTGTCGTAACTTTTGGGGCTAGTCGACCCATCTACTCAAATGGCCTCTCAGAATCATGGATAATAGATATCGAGGCTATAGATCATATTAGACCCAACATTTAATGTATGACTGATATTTGCATAAATTCATTTTCCCCCTATTCAACTTTCCAGTGGTAATCAAATCCCAGTTAAAGTTTTGAGCCGAGTCCAACTTGGACCTAATTTTAATTTGAGACAACTTTTGGTAGTACCCAATTTTCGTTTTAATTTACTTTCCCTCAGTAAATTAACTTGTGATCTCAAATATGTTTTAATTTTTAGATTTGATTTTTATGTGATACGGTATTTTCATCCTATCAACGACATATTTTGTAACTAAAACAATCTTATTAGGGATAGCTAAAATAAAAAATTTCTTTTATATAACACACACCTTCTTTCAAGATAGTAGGTATGAGCGACATCAATTTTTTCCTAATTTATATTCAATGAAAAATATGATAAGGTCATAAAATTGAAATGGAACTCTTTTTATCTCTTATTTTGTTGTTTTTCTTGGGTTCAAGAGAACACCCAAGTTATCCAATACTAGTCGAATTGCATAGGTTCTCAAATTTCTCTCATTTTAGACGCATGGGATACCATATTGGTAATTTAATGAGCTAAGCTATACCTTTTATGAGTAATGCCAGCTGAAAACATTATCCCCTCGATCGGAAAGAAAAAACTTGCAAACACTATATATACAAATGAAATATAATTAGTACATTCTATTAATTTATAGGATTATTACCTGCACTATACCTTTATGAGTAATGCCAGCTGAGAACGTCGATCGGTGAGCAATTGGAGGCAGCCTTTCATCTCCAAAAAGCAAAACTGCCTGCCGTGCAATTGTTGTTTTCCTTGAGGTTCTCTAAATCTAGATTAGACCTGGTTGATTATACTCCCATTGTGGGCGAATGTGTCATGATCATCCCCTAACCACCAAAGAATCGCACCCAAATTAAGGAGTAATGCTAGTTGGCTAGCTAGGTTGAATATTAATGGAGTTGATGCAAGGAAATTCAACATTAACTAGGGGCAGTAATGGTAGGGCAAAACAATGATCGATCATAACTGGCTTATAAGTAGAGTTCATATGCAATGGCATTCTTTGCTCAATACCAATATATCATATATCCAGATTCTTATATATCAACTATGAAGACATTCATTTTACATCTTATTGTCTTTTCTCATTGTCTTTCAGAAAAGACAATAAGATGTAAAATGAATGTCTTCATAGTTGATATATAAGAATCTGGATATATGACATATTGGTATTTGCTATAGCTCCTCCAGTGCACAAAAAGTCCTCCACCACCACCACCTCCCGCAGTTCGTACAGTTCACCATATGTACCTAGTACTTACGTGGCCATTCGGCTATTGCTCTGGTTCGCAGAGGGGGTTGTGTAAAATGAATCCATTGCCCCAGGACATGACTATACACGGCATATGGCCAGTGGACAGTGCTGGGAACTCTATCCTTTCTTGTCACATTCCCCAGGATCTTACTCCTGTGGTACCTTACTTATGTTATTACTATTTTGTCTTTTCATTTAGGGATTTACTTAATTTTGACGCATCCTTCTTTTGCATTTGCAGTTCAATGACAAAACGTTGCAGGATAATTTGCTGGATCACTGGCCTAGTCTCACTGGCCTGATTAGCGATATAAAGTCGCAAAGGGATTTTTGGTCTTATGAATATAACAAACACGGAAATTGTCAATCGAAGATGGCCAAAGATTATTTCTGGGCAGGGATCAGTTTGAAGCAGCACTCTAGCATCTTCCAAGCTTTAAAGGATGCAAACATAACGCCTGGTCAACATTACAAACGGGCTGATTTTGAAAAAGCAATCAAAGCAAAAGTGGGCACAAGTGATATTTGTTTAAGGTGCTTAAAAAATCAAAATGGTGACTTTCTGCTCAAAGAGATTTACCTCTGCATTGATGCACAAGCAACAAAGGTCATACCTTGTCCACAAAAAGAAGTACAAAAGAGCAATAATTGTGGATATGGCACCATCAAGTTTGTTTCTGCTATATATACTGAATATATAAATGGTTAAATTTTAAATATATCAAGTTTGTCTCGGTTGAGAAGCTTCGTGCATGAGCCTGCAATCTAGATTAGATCGATTTGGATTAAAAAAAAAAAAAAAACCTCTATATTAAAGGCAAAAATATGTGTGGTTGCTGTCAAATTTGGTGGGCAGGTAGTTCTTGAAAGTGTACAAAAGGTTTATTGAGGAGATGGGTTGAAGATTTTAGGATCTTAGAGTATGTGTGTTTGATGGCATATATTCTTTTTATTTTTTATTTTTATTTTTATTTTTAAAAAATCATTTTTAGAACTGAAAGAAGACATATTGAATATTGGATCTCGATGCTTGAATAACATTAGAAAAAATTATGTTTATAAAAAATTATGCTTGAAAATATTCTTTTGTAGTGATCCAAAATGACATATGATCTAAGCTTCTTGGTTTTTTCTTTCATGCAGGCCTTGGGGATAGAGCTCTTAAGGACAATTGATAGACCAGAGCACAAGGTGAAATGTTCTTTCTCCGATGATTGGATGCATATATTAAGTAGTCGGTGTACTCATTATGCTCTGAGATATGGAGTTAGCTTTTAGAGTTCCCTCACCTTGTTGATTGCACTTCACAGTACACTTTGGCCATGATGGGCTAGGATGATGAATACAAGACAACTATTATGGAACTGACGTATAATTATGGTGTGACTGAATACACCAAGGGAGATGCATATATGCAGGGGTGTTAAATTCATGTTTTTCAAGCTATCCTAACTCCTTAATGATCCCTACACTTGAACACTGATGAATCCAGTATTCACTACAGGTTGCAATTGGCATTGATGATGTGTACAAAAGTCCTGAAGTTGTCAACTTTGTAACACAAGAGCTTGGTGGCAAGATAACTCGTCAACCTGGACCAATTCCTGGACTCAACATCAACATCAACCCTTTTCTAGGTCCATATGGCTGGAAAACTGTAAGTTTTCTCTAAGGGATCTTAGGTTCTAATGTTAAATAAGATGTTGCATACTTCTCTACTTTGAGGCATGCAATTGAAATGGAATGTTAAAATTAGCCTGGAAATCCATTTTCATTTATGTTTTCAACTTGATAACAAAAAAATATATCAGAAAATTTTTGGAGGTGAAATATGCAAAACAAGAATGTTATCTACCCTAAAATTTGTTAAGGAAACAGGGGCAATACCTTTATTTTGTGCCATATGCCAAGACTCTAACAAGTTTAGTGTTTAAGTGTTGTTATCACTGGATGACACTTCGGCAATCATAAAGACGTAATGTGCTTGAAAGCAGAGTCGTCACTTAATTTTTTCAAAGGTAAAAACTAAGAAAAATCTAGCAAACTAGTTTTAAGAGTTTTGGCGAAGATGATTGATTATATAATTAGAAAAGATTACGGTCATTCTAATTTATCCTCGTAATGAGATTACTACTAGACTAAAAAAAATTAATCGAAAAGTATAAGAATGGGCCTCAAGTCCATATCCACTAGCAAAAACCAAGCTAGCGTTTACTCTAGATGATGGGTCTCTTTGTTTGGATGATAATAAACTTGGCAACGAAGCAGTGAAATACTTTCAGAATATTTTTAATAGTGATGTGTCCATAGAGGATAATGGATTTCTGGATGAAATTCCGACAGTGATTTCAGAAGCACAAAATGCAGTGCTAATGGCCATTCCAGAGGCTGAAGAGATCAAAACTGCAGTTTTTGAGCTTGATGACCTTAGCGCTCCTGACCCAGATGGATTCACTGGTTCCTTTTTCAAATCCTGTTGGGAGATTATTAGCAAGGATGTGATATTAATGGTACAGGATATTTTTAGGGGTGGAGAAATTCCAAAAGGGTAACGTCTACTACCTTAATCTTGAATCCTAAATGCGCTAACCCTTCCAGTTTTGCAGAGATGAGACCAATTAGTTTATGCAATTTTACATACAAAATTTTATCCAAAGTTATTAATTCCAGGCTGAGCACATTTCTTCCCAAGCTGATTTCCAGGGAGCAATAGGGGTTTGTAAAGGGAAGAGCCATCCATGAGAATGTGGCTCTTGCTCAAGAATTATTTAATGACATCAACCGAAAAGTTTATGGGGGCAATGTAATTATTAAAGTGGATATGACCAAGGCATATGACAGAGTGGACTGGAGGTTTCTTATCAATGTAATGAGGAAGTTTGGTTTTTCGGATAGTTGGTGTAACCTGATATACCGATGTTTGAGTGACTGTTGGTACTCAATAGGTCTAAACGCCCAATCCTGTGGTTTCTTCAAATCGCATAGGGGGTTAAGACAAGGAGATCCTCTCTCGCCTGTACTTTTCATTTTGGCTCAAGAAGCCTTTATTCGATAGCTGAATGCCTGGATTGAACGGGGTAAGATCAAACCATATTACACTGGGAGAAATAATCTCATTGTTTCTCACCTGTTATTTGCAGATGATATGTTTTTTTTTTTTTTTTTTTGCAACAGGGGAAAGAAGAATCTGGACGACATTCTTGCTCTTCTTCAGAAATATGCCAAAGCTAGTGGTCAGATGATTAATCACAAGAAAAGTTCCCTGTTATGCAGCAACAAACTATCTCCTAACAGGAAAGGTCTTCTATCGACATGGACAGGATTAACTATTGCTCATGAGGTGATGAAGTATCTTGGTATGCCTCTGTTTAAAGGGAGAAGTCGTATCCATTACTTTGCTTACCTAGAAAACAAAATGAAGGATAAATTAGCGGGTTGGAAAGGAAGACTGCTATCTACTGGAGGGAGGCTCACTCTGATTCAAAGTGTTCTATCCTCCATAACCATTTATTCCATGGGTGTGCTTCCCATTCCAAAAACAACTATATCTAGATTGCAAAGTTATATTTCCAATTTCTTTTGGAATAATGGAGAGGAAAATAGGCATCATTGGATTAGCTGGCGCAAGGCCGCTCTCCCAAAACATGAAGGAGGCTTAGGCATAAAGGAGTTGAATGAGGTGATGTTGGCCATGAAAGGTAAACTAGCATGGGCATTTATTTCTAGTTCATCCTTGTAGAGCTCATTTATGCGGGCTAAATATGGATTGCTTTCCACAACTGCCTCCTGGGATAATAAAAACGACTCTAATAGTTTGGAAATCTTTACTGCCACACATACGGGCATTGCTGGACAAATCTATGTGGGTTGCAGGTAAAGGCAATATTCGGCTTTGGAGTGATAAATGGACACAAGCTGACTTGCCGCGCTCATTAGCTAATGAAGATATCACACTAAACCAAGCCAAAAATGATGCACGGCTCCTCTCTTCCCTTCCTATTTTGGTGAGAAAGGAACTGGATAGGGTGCACTTAGATAGCAGGGTGGAAGACAGATTGGTCTATATGGATTCAAAATCTAGAAAATTCACACGAAGGAGTATCATGAGGTGGATCGATTTAAGGGACATAATTTTGCATGGTGGAGATGCTTATGGAACAAGTAGATAGCTACTAAAATTGGTGTCTTCATCTAGAAAATGATTTATAGTGCGCTACCAGTAGATATGTTGGTTAAATCTTGTGGGGTTCCCATGGCCTCCAAATGCCACTGCTGGAGCTCTCCTAATGAGGAATCATGAGACCACTTAATCCTTCACAGTCAGGTTGCTTCTCAACTATGAAGCTGGTTTGGGGAGCTGCTTGATGTTACTCCAGGAGCAATTACAATGCAACAGTTGATGAGTAACTAGTTAACCAAAGGTACGTAAGGTCTTTACGCAGAAGACATTCTCACAGATGGTAACATTTAGTTGCATGGTGTGGGAAATTTGGAGGGCCAGAAACCAAGCTCATTTTGAGGAGATCCTTATGAATACGGTGGACATCAAATATAAGATTTTGCATTGGCTGCATGACCTGAATTAGTTATTCCAACCGAAACGAAATGCATCCTTCCATGATAATTTGTGTCTCCAGGCTCTCGGCATTGCAGTTCAGAAATCAAAAGTAGCGAAAGGTAATTGGGTTAGATGGAGTCATCCCCATGCAGGCACATGCAAGTTAAATGTTGATGGTGCTTCAAAAGGAAATATCTGCACTGGAGGTGGTATTTTACGGGATGAGAAAGGAGCCTTGGTGATGACTTTCTCCTGCTTTTTTGGGCCTGGCACTAATAATAGAGGAGAGGCTTTAGCTTTATTAGAGGGAATTAAGGTATGTACTCAGCACGGTTTTTCTCCACAAACTATAGAGCTGGATTCAGCAGTAACATTGGAAGGGATAGTGCGAGCCAGAGAGGAGGTCCCGTGGAATCTTGTATATATCTACAAGGAGTGCTGGACCAAGTTACCACAAGATTCCAAACTCCAACATGTTTTCAGAGAAGGAAATAAAGTAGCAGACAATCTTGCATGTTGGGCTTTTGAGCATGCATCTCGGAAAGTAATATTTTCTTCTACAGAGCTTCCAAATACAATTTGACAGGCCATCAAAGATGATATTATAGGTTTGTTCACTTACTGGGCTTCTTGAATCCTCGAGGATAAATTTTAAATGTTGCTGTTAGGCTCTGTTTTAGGGATTATCAAATGTTCTAGTATAGTAAAAACTCCCTCTATATAGGGATGTTATTATTTCCAATTTCCTCTTCTTTTTTGCTCAGGGGTTTAGGTTATCTTGTCCTCCCAACCTGTAGGGATAGGCCAGTTTGTCCCTCTTTGTATTTTGATATTTCATTTTTATTAATAAATTACCAGGTTCCATCCTTGTTTTCAAAAAAAAAAATGTTAATTTAAAATAATAAGATTGGGCCTAAGGCCTAATATAAAATTCAAAGCTAAATCTAGAAGAAGAAAAAATTAGTGGCACCAAAAAAATAAAAAAGAGTAAAATATGAAAAAAATAATAATTAATCTCCTTTAATACTAGTTTTAAAAAAGAAAAAAATAAAATAAACTTTACATTTTTTTACATAGTCTCAAATCTAGTAAGATCAAACTTTAAACATACAAATAATAGAAAAATCAAATTCAAAGCTTTATGCTGTGAATTGAATGATATAAATTTTGGATTTACAATTTTTATGCACCAATCGAATATTACATTTGTTATGATCTAACATAGATAATTATATATTTTATAATTAAGATAACATCATCCTTCGTTAGATGAGAATCTTATATATATATATATATATATATATGAAGGAAACAAGGGCAGTATACTTATTTTGTGCCATATGCCAAAACTCTAACAAGCTTTAGTGTTTAAGTTTGTTGTCACAAGGTGACACTTCGACAATCTTAAAGACATAATTTGCCTGAAAGTAGAGTCGTCACTTAATGTTTTTAAAGATAAAAACTTAAAAAAAATCTAGCAAACTAATTTTAAGAGTTTTTGCAAAGATGCTTGATTATATAATTAGAAAAGATTTCGGTCATTCTATTGTCCTCTCATCATGAGATTACTACTAGACTACCAAAAAATTCCAAAAGTATAAGAATGGGCCTTGAGCCCATATCCATCTGCCAAGTTAGTTTAAAATAATAAGATTGGGCCTAAGACCTAATACAAAATTCAAAGCTAAATTTACAATAAGATGAAATTAGTAACAAAAAAAAAGAGAGAGTAAAATATAAAAAATAATTGTCGTTACTCAACGTCGGACGAGATTTCGTAAAAAAATCTAATTTAGTTTAAGATTTATCATTTATAAGTTTGGAGTCACCACCTAGTATTAAGGAATCAAGAACTTAAATGTGGCACTAGTCCGAATATACTGTAGTGAGGAGTTGGTTACATTTTTCAAAAGATACTTAATCATCTAAAAATGCCATTTCTAAAGAAAAATATCACGTATAGTTTAGTCCAAAATTTATCTCATAAATTATTTTATTTATGCCAAATTATTTTCCAATTTGAAACTCCAATTTTCTAAGTTGAATAAAAAGTTTCTAGTTTTGGACGTGGCATCGTATTGAAACAATTGTCGATCCCTTTCTTTGACCAACAC